ATAAAATAAAATAAAAATAAAAATAAAACATGATATTAACTTTCTAGTTCTGTGTGATTTCAAGAAGAGATAAGTTCAGAGCTTTGGGGTAGGCTGCCCATGTGGAAGGACCTCTCTCTAGAATCAGCTGATAGGAAAAGCTTCCCAAATCCCAGGAAGGTGTTTATATGCCAGGATTAGCGACGTTCTGCTCACCCTCAAAACTGATCAAGTTCAAAGCACATGAACCACCTATGAATTACAATTATAGCCAGGGAAGGGAAATCATAGATACCCTCAGCCCTATCTTGCAGGTGATGGGGTAGAAGAAACTTCAAATATGTGTCATCCCATAAAATGGCCATTTGGGTAGTTAAAGGGCCAGTAGTTACCAAGGAAGGGTGGGTAACAGGAACACAGGCCTGACAACTGTGGTAAGACACCAACTCCACCTGCTCCCTCCCTGCCAAGTTTAGGCCTTTAGGCCACGCTCACTAAGAAGCCTACCTGGTTGAAATGCTGCATCTTGCCTGGCTCTGTAGCAAGCTCACCGATGGAGCTCTGCTGGACTAGCCCCTGCCTGAGGGGGCTGCTGCTTGGCTGGAAGTGGGCTTGCTGAGAGGCCTCCTGCCCAGCAGGGGCAAGGGCCACCTCCTGAGGATGTTCCAGCAGCTCTGGCTCCCATGATAGAAGCCTCGAGTCCCTCTCCAGGACTCTGATGGCCTCGTGCTCACCCTCACTAGACATCCTAGAAGACTCAGCTGCCATGCAACAGACTGTGCTGGCGCTGTGTCTACACGGCATGTCCTGCATGCTCTCAGGCAGCCCCAGGCCCTCCGGCCACCTGGAGATCTTGACCATCTGCAGGATGTGCTGGTAGAACCTCTGATCCTCAGAGTAGTCTTCACTTTCTGACTGCTCCTCGACAGGGCTCTGCATGTGGGACATGTGAGGAACTGAGAAGGGGCTGAAGTGTTGATCTCTGAAACCTGAGTCTGACTGAGCCACACCCTCCTCAGATCCCTGTGAGCTCTGCAGGTTCCAAGGGAAGTTGTTCACCTCGTCCAGGACGGGAGAGCCCAGGTGTGAGGCCAGGCTGCTGCTGCTGCTGCTACCGCTGCTGCTGCTGTTCTCCAAGTCAGGCCCAGACACACTAGGCTTCTCATCTTTACAAGGGAGCTCTGCAGACCCGAGGGTCTGTCTCTTCTCACCGGCAGGAGGCTCCCCGGGGGCCCTCCCTGAAAGGGGATTCTGAGCTGGTTCTGATGCCAGGGTTTCAGGTGGTATTAGCAAGAGCCCCTGAGGTAGACTTTCAACTGAGGCCCCTAGAGCCTCAGGGTCACTGGGCTCTGTTTCCTTGCAGCTTCCTGGGATATCCTTATTGACAAGCTTGGAGACCTGTTCCATCCACAGTCCAGGAGGTTCTCTCCTCCTCCTCGCGCTGCCTACGCTCCCACCTTCCCCGGGAACTCCCTGCCAGCTCAGGTCTTCGGTAGGGCTGCTATCTAACAACAACTTGCTCTTCCTGGCAGGCAACATGTGGCCGGAATAACAAGAGGACAGGGAGGGCTCCTCCTCAGGGGATGACGTGGGAATGGGGCTTTGGCCCTTGTCCCCTCCAGGGCCAGTGGAGCTCAGTTTGGCTAAGCTGTGGCTGTGCTGCTCCCCTTTCAGCGGCAAGCCCTTGATGGCTTCAGAAAGCTTTGAGTGGACAGGGGCCTGGCTCCTGCTTTCTACCACATCCTGCACATTATGGAGAAGCCCAGTGTTCTGAGGGGCTGGAGTGCCCAGTTTCTGCTGTCTGCTCCTCATTTCCAGCTCTTCTGTTTCAGGGTCTGAAAACCCCAGGCAGATTTTCTCTGTCGCCTTCTGGAGTTTCTCCAGACCCTGCTGATCACCTAATTCTCTCCTGCATTGGGCTGAGGCCCTGCCTAAAATTTTCTCCGTGTCAGCAGAGACCTGGTGGATTTGGGAAGTTTGGCCTTTGAAGAGTGGCTGCAGCTTTCTGGGAAGGGCACCCATGAAACACCAGGAGGTGTTGCCCAGCATGCCTGGGCTCTTTCCTTTGTTATAGGATCCCTCACTTCTAGCCTGAATCTCTTGATCTAGGTCCAGATCAGGAAGCCCAGGTGCTGACGGAGGGGACAGGCTGCAGAGAAAGGATGAAGGAGGCAGAAGTCCCTCCTCAGGCTGCGTTTCCTAGATGGGTATATAAACATGCAGAGAAAACGAAGACAAAGCACTTCTGATTTACACTTGCTACCTTACCCCTTGGTAAGCCCTCAGCAGAAACCCACCCTCTCTATTCAAAGTAAATAAAGCACAAACTGAAGAGGGAAGAAAAGATAAAAACTCTCTTGGGCTGAAAATATGTTGTTTTCTAGGCTCCAGTTTCCTTATCTACAAAGAGGAGGCTGGATTAGATCAATGGTTTGCAAACCTTGCTCCATGGAACCTGGGAAGCTCAGTACCTTGGGGTACTATATTGTGCATGTGACAGAGAAGAGGTGTCACAAAGACCTACACTGCCAAGTTCAACCAAAGCAGCTCCATTTCTTTTTGTGTAAGCTGGACCTCTATAGAGGAACTGACTTAAAGACAGGGCTCTACTACAAACTAAAGTCTGAAAATCGCTAACCAGACTATCCTTAATGTACTATCCAGCTCTCAGATTCTGTGATTGATTAGTTTTATAAAATGCACCAACCTTGGGCCGTGTGTGCTGACTCATGTCTGTAATCCCAGCACTTTAGGAGGCTGGGGCGGGTGGAGGTCAGGAGTTCGAGACCAGCCTGGCCAACATGGTGAAACCTCATCTCCACTAAAAATACAAAAAATTAGCTGGGCACAGTAGTGGGCGCCTATAATCCCTGCTTCTTGGGAGGCTGAGGCACGAAAATTGCTTGAACCCAGGGGGCAGAGGTTGCAGTGAGCCAAGATCATGCCACTGCACTCCAGCCTGGGCAACAGAGCAGGACGCTGTCTCAAAAAAAAAAAAAAAGAAGAAGAAGAAGAAGAAGAAGAAAGTCCACCAACCTTATCAAGGACACCCAGAAATTTTTTAACAGGGAGAGAAGAGAAGCATAACAAATGACCCGAGACTTGAAAACTCAGTCTAGCATTGTCTACCAAACGAACCAGTTGGTATTGCTTGAAAGACCTCCACATGGTCACAGACCCTCTGGGCTAGAAAAACTTCTAAAAAATCAACCACCCCTCTACAAACATTCACACTGAACCCCAGTTGGCTGTGAGTGCACACCTCCAGAGAGTCCAAACCACTTGCGTCCAGGCTGCCTGCCTGGCTCAGAGCTGTCCCCTGGACAAACTCAAGTTTGAGGCACCTGTCCTGAGCCCTAAGAACCAGACTGACAGCCCAGGGCTGTCCCATTTTCTTCACTTCCTGCAATCACGGAAGGAACTCTTTTTAACAGAGGGCTCTAAGAACCCAATCACACATCTACCTCTCAGTCCTTTACCCAGCTCTCCACCTCAGAACCCTCACTTCATTCCGTCTCCCGCCTTTCGTCAAGCCACAGTCTGCCCAGATGCCTGACTACCATTTCAAATAATCCGGGGTCCGTGAAAAGCCCTGTGGCCACCTTTTGCCATTCGAAAACATGACATTGGAAAATCCAGCCTAGCTGGAAATTATCTGCCCTCTTTTCTCCATCTGGAGGAATGGGCTTGTTACCGTGTTTCTCAAAACATGAGTAGTATGTCAGGGAGGGGAGGGAAGAGAGAAGTGTCTGCGGAGCTTGGACCAGAGGAAGCACAAGGCTCTGGAGGGAAATAAAAGCTGTAAGAGCAAAACAAGTGGACCACTGAACAGGGCTGAAACGATGTTCCCAGTGCTCGCCACGGGCTGAGCTGAGTTCCTATGTCCCTCCCTCTCTTCAGCATGCCCCATTTGCCCCAGGCCTGGGTAAAGGGACCACTACAGCATTCTGGGAGAGCCTGGGCCTCAGTTTGGTATGGCTCCAGGTCTTAGTTGCTCCACCTAAATCATGTGGGCAATAACTCCACCTCCTAGGTTCAGACGTACTAAAGGGACAGATGAAACAATAATTAATATGAATACTTTGAACTCAAATACAAAAGCTACTTATAACCAAGGAAATCAGGCTGGGCGTGGTGGCTCTCGCCTGTAATCCCAGCACTTTGGGGGGCTGAGGCTGGTGGATCACTTGAGGTCAGGAGTTTGAGACCAGCCTGGCCAACATGGTGAAACCCCATCTCTACTAAAAATACAAAAATTAGCCAGGCGTGGTGGCGGACACCTGTAATCCCAACTACTCAGGAGGTTGTGGCAGAATTGCTTGAGCCTGAAAGGCAGAGGTTGCAGTGAGCTGAGATCACGCCACCGTACTCCAGCCTGGGTGACAGAGCGAGACTCCGTCTCAAAAAAAACAACAACAAGGAAATCACATTGCAATTAAACTTCAGTTACCCACCACTCACTGAGGACACTGGCAACAATCTAGATGAGCAGATAAAGCCCCAGGCTTTTCTCTGGAATCCTGAAGGCACCCGGTGTTTTGACAACTAAATTATGGCTACATCTGATATCTAGGAATTCACACCGCCTTAAGACAAACAAGGAACCCACACTGGGGAGGCCTGACTCTGAACAGGAGAAAGGACACTTCATTCAGCTCACTAGCCTCTGCCAACCGCCTTCAGTCCCCGCTCTCCAGAGCAGCCGATGCCATTACTGCTACTACTACTGTACTGCAAAAACCATTCTCAGAAGAGCACTCTCTCATCAATCCTATTAGGTAACACGCACTTCCTAAGGCGGAAGAAAAGGAAATGTGTAGACATGGCAACAACTTCCAGAATTCCAAAAGCTGAAAGGAAAATCGACCAGAAGACAGGCAAAGTTTAGATGATATAATATCAAGAATTTACCATATTCTGACTGTTGTCTTCAACCTCCCAGCTGCAGACACCTAGAGGTTCCCAATGTCCCTCCAGATTTCAGCCCTGGCCTCTCTGGGAGGAGGCATCCACTGACTCACCAGGGAACTTTTGGGGGTCTCTTTGTCCTTCTTGTCTTTCTTTTCCTTTTTTTTTTTCTTCTTCTTAATGGCCCCAGAAGTTGACAGCTTTGCCCGCTCTTGAATCACCAAGTTCCGATAGTGTTCGTCACATGGATGGTCCCACGTAGACTGCCCGTTGGCAAAGTTGAAATAGTAAATGTCACCTGTGATGTCCTGGCTGGGGACGGGCAGAGTTCAGAAGTTAGTCCCTGCTCAGTTACAAAAGAAGAAAAAGAAAAAGAGGGGAAAAAAAGAAAAAGGGAGAGGAGGTAAAAGAGGAGGAACAGCGGGGGTGGAAAAGGGAGGGAGAAGATGGAATGAGAGGGGTTAAGAGCGGAGGGAAGGAAAGGATTAACACAGAGTCAAAGGGTACCATTTGGTTAAGAAGGAGTTAGCTTAGATATGGGAAGAAAGGATTGGGATACCTAATCTCTAGATGCTGATGTATAATCACTGGAGTTCTTGAGAATGCATGCTGGACTAGTATAGGAACAAACTTGGTTTTATTTAGATGGAGAAGTATAAAAACTATAGTATGTTGAACATAAGTGCTAGGATAAATCTTAACATTTTAATAAACAGTCTGAAGAAGAACAATGCATTGTGAGAGCTCTGGTTTTACAGAAGACTCTAAACTCATAAGAAGCAATAATCCTGCCGGGCGTGGTGGCTCACGCCTGTAATCCCAGCACTTTGGGAGGCCAAGGTGGGTGGACCACCTGAGGTCAGGAGTTCAAGACCAGCCTGACCAACATGGAGAAACCCCATCTCTACTAAAAATACAAAATTAGCTGGGGTGGTGGTGGGCGCCTGTAATCCCAGCTACTCGGGAGGTTGAGGCAGGAGAATCACTTGAACCCGGGAGGCAAGATCATGCCATTGCACTCCAGCCTGGGCAACAAGAGCGAAACTCCATCTCAAAAAAAAAAAAAAAGTAATAATCCAAGCTAGTGTGGACCAATGGTAGAAGAAAATAATGTAGGAGGTATATTTCAAGAATCTGTGTTTCAACATGCACAAGTCCAAAATAAGCCACTCATCTCATCCACCATTAACAACAATCTATTAGGACAGCTAACAGGAAAAATGAAGTCCACTCACAATAGTAATGCAAAATATTTTATACTCACGCATAAACCTAAAATGTGCAAAATCTTTATAGAGTTTTACTGACAAGTCAGAGAAAAGAAAAACACCCATGGGGGAGGCATTCAGTATTCCAGAACGGAAAGACTCCAGTCTGTAAAGATGTCAATAATCCCAACATTAATATATAAATCCAATACAATCCCAATCAAGCTCCTTATGAAATCTGACAAGCCGAATCTCAATTCAAACATAAGAGCAAACGAAAAATAAATGAGAAAATGAACAGAAATTTTAAAAATCAGGGGTAAAAAAGGACACTGATAGAAGATATGCAAATGACCAATAAGCACATGAAAAGATGTTCCACATCAGTAAACATTGGGAAAATGCAAATCAAAACTATTCTGAAATGCTACTTCACACCGTAAGCATGGCTATTATCAAAAATCTAAAAAATGAGCCTTGGCAACATAGTGAGACCCTGTCTCTACAAAAAATGAAAAAAATTAGCCAGGCACAGTGACACACATCTATAGTTCCAGTTACTCAGGAGACTTGAGGTGGGAGGATCGTTTGAGCCCAGGAGTTCAAGGCTACAAGGCTGGGTGCGGTGGCTCACACCTGTAATCCCAGCACTTTGGGAGGCCGAGGCAGGTGGATCACCTTAGGTCAGGAGTTCGAGACCAGCCTGATCAACATGGTGAAATCCCATCTCTACTAAAAAAACAAAAATTGGCTGGGCATAGTGGCTCACGCCTGTAATCCCAGGACTTTGGGAGGCCAAGGTGGGCAGATCACGAGGTCAGGAGTTCAAGACCAGCCTGACCAACATGGTGAAACCCCGTCTCTACTAAAAATACAAAAATTAGCCAGGTGTGGTGGCACATGCCTGTAATCCCAGCTACTCGGAAGGCTGAGGCAGGAGAATCGTTTGAACGGGGGAGGTGGAGGCTGCAGGGAGCCAAGGTCACACCATTGCACTCCAGCCTGGGTGACAGAGCAAGACTCCGTCAAAAAAAAAAAAATTAGTTGGGCGTGGTGGCATGCACGTATAATTCTAGCTATTTGGGAGGCTGAGTCAGGAGAATCACTTGAACCCAGGAGGTGAAGGTTGCAATGAGCTGAGATTGTGCCATTGACCGCCAGCCTGGCAGACAGAGGAACCCTTGTACACTGCTGGTAGGAACGTAAAATGGTGATTCCACTTTAGTAAATAGCATGGGGGTTCCTCAAAAAAATTAAATCAAATTTAATATTAAATAAAAATTAAATAATCTTAAAATAGCTGGGTACCATGGTGCACACCTGTAGTCCCAGCCACTTAAGAGGCTGAGGCAGAAGGATCCCTTGAGCCCAGCAGTTTGAGGCTACAGTGAGCTATGATTATGCCACTGCACAGCCTGGGTGACAGAGCAATACCCCATCTCTAAAAAAAAAATTAATTTATAATAGAATTACCATGTGACCCAGCAATTCCATTTCTGGGCATATACCCAAATGAATTGAAAGCAATAATTCAAACAGCTATTTGTACACCAATAATCACAGCAGCATTATTCACAATAGCCAAGAGACGGAAAGAAGACCAAATGTCCATTGACAGATAAATTGATAAATAGGGCTGGGCACAGTGGCTCACGCCTGTAATCCCAACACTTTGGGAGGCAAAGGTGGGTAGATCACTTGAGGTCAGGAGTTCGAGACCAGCCTGGCCAACATGGTGAAACTCCATTTCTACTAAAAATACAAAATTACCCAGGCATGGTGGCACGTGCCTGTAATCCTAGCTACTCAGGAGGCGGAGGCAGGAGAATCGCTTGAACCCAGAAAGCGGAGGTTGCAGTGAGCCAAGGTTGCACCACTACACTCCAGCCTGGGCAACAGAGTGAGACTCTGTCTCAAAAAAAAAAAAAAAAGATAAATAGAATGTGGTATATACATGCAATGGAATATTATTCAGCCTTAAGAAAAAATTCTCACGCATGCTACAACATAGATGCACCTTGAGGATATTATGCTAAGTGAAAGAAGTCAGACACAAAAGGACAAATATTGCATAATTCCACCTATATAAAGTATCTAGAATAGGCAAATTCATAGAGCCAGAAAGCTGAATGGTGATTGCCTGAGATTAAGGAGAAAGGAAAATGGGGAATTCATATGTAGTGGCTATAGAGTTTCAGTTCGGGGATGAAAACATTCTGGAGATGAATGGTAGTGATAGCCATGTAACATTGTAAATGTACTTAATGCTGCTGAATTGTCCACTCAAAAATCCTTAAAATGGTAAATTTCATGTTATATATATTTTACCACAATTAAGAAAAAATATATACAAATGTATTGACTTCAGTATGACAAAAGAAAGCATAAACCAAATTAAAAGACATGTGACTGGGATAAAATAGTAGAAATAGTGGTAAGATACCACTACTATTACCCAGAATACCCAGAATAATCAAAGAGTTCTATCACCTTAACAAAAATAAAAGATAAGCAATCTACTAGACAAAAAGGCAAGAGATATAAACAGGTAAATCACAAAAGACCAACAGATGGCCAATTCAACTCTACAAACAACTTGGGAAATGCAATTTAAAATGATCCATTGTTATTTGTTGCCCTTGGATTGACTATTTTTTTTATTGACAATTTTTTAATTGATAGTATTTCTAGGCTAGGCACTGTGGCTCATGCCTGTAACCCCAACACTCTAGGAGACTGAGGCAGGTGAATTGCTTGAGCTTAGGAGTTCAAGACCACCCTGAGCAACATGGCATAACCCCATCTCTACAAAAAAAATACAAAAATTAGCCACGCATGGTGACATACACCTGTAGTCCCAGCTACTGGGGAAGCTGAGGTGGGAGGATCTCTTGAGCCCAGGAGTTAGAGGATGCAGTGAGTAATGATCATACCACTGTACTCCAGCCTGGGCAATAGAGCAAGACTCTATCTCAAAAACAACAACAACAACAACAACAACAAAAACTTCAATATACTAAAAACGGAATAAAAAATTGTCCTTATTTGCAGATTACATTTTTCTACAGGGTAAATATGTCCTAGAGACATTAAAGAAAACCTAAATACTGCAAATGGAAACAGACCATGTTCATGGGTTGAAAGTATTGTTTAAAATGTCAATTTTCCCCAAATTGATTTACACAGTCAACTCAACAACAATAAAAATCCTAATAGGAAACTGACAAGCTATTCTTTTTTTTTGAGACGGAGTTTCGCTCTTGTTGCCCAGGCTGGAGTGCAAAGGCATGGTCTCAGCTCACTGCAACCTCCACCTCCCGGGTTCAAGTGATTCTCCTGCCTCAGCCTCCCTAGTAGCTGGGATTACAGGCATGTGCCACCACGCCCGGCTAATTTTGCATTTTTAGTAGAGACGGGGTTTCTCCATGTTAGTCAGACAGGTCTTGAACTCCTGACCTCAAGTGATCTGCCCACCTCGGCCTCCCAAAGTGCTGGGATTACAGGCATAAGCCACCGTGCTCGGCCTCGGAAACTGACAAGCTATTCTAAAATTCATATGGAAATACAAAATACCTAGAATGTGACTTTGAAAATGGAGAACAAAGTTGGAGGATTTACCTTAAATGATTTCAAGATTTTATCATAAAACTATATAATCAAGACAGAATGGTACTGGTGTGAAGACAGACAAATAACTCAGTGGAAGAGAGTAGAGGATCCAGAAACAGCCTCACTTCATGGCCAATTAGGAAAATATCTAAATGTCCTTCAATATAAGACTAGTCAAATAAATCAAGATTTTTGAAAATTGTGGTACATCTCTACACAGGAAAGTATGCAGCTGATACAAGAAAGAGTAGGCCTACACAAACGGACATAGAAGAACAGTGTGTATAATAAAGTGCTTATGTTTAAAACTAAACCATTGTGGGGGAGGGGGTGCACACATGTGTATTAAAAGAGTCTAGAGAGAATTTACCAATTAATAGTAATTACCCTTAGGAAAACAAGAAGGGTAAAAGATGGGTAAAGAAGAAGAAGGGTAAAATGTATGTATACCTACGTTTTAATGACTCATTTTATTTGTTTTTGAGACAGGTTCTCTCTCTCCCCCACACTGAAGTGCAGTGATGCAATCTTGGCTCACTGCAGCCTCAATCTCCCAGGCTAAAGTGATCCTCCTAACTGAGCTTCAGAAGTAGCTGGGACTAAAGGTGCATGTCACCACCCCCACTTAATTTTTGAATTTTCTATAGAGACAGAGTTTTTGCCAGATTGCCCAGACTGGTCTCAAACTCCTGAGCTCAAGCAATCCCCCAAACTCGGCCTCCCAAAGTGCTGGGATAATAGGTGTAAGCCACCACGCCTGGCCAATTTATTTTAAAAAGTGAAAAATAGGCCGGGCGCGGTGGCTCATACCTGTAATCCCAGCATTTTGGGAGGCCAAGGCAGGCAGATCATGAGATCAAGAGTTCAAGACCAGCCTGACCAACATGGTGAAACCCCGTCCCTACTAAAAATACAAAAATTAGCCAGGCGTGGTGGCACATGCATGTAATCCCAGCTACTCAGGAGGCTGAGGCAGAGGTTGCAGTGAGCTGAGATTGCGCCATTGCACTCCAGCCTGGGCGACAGAGCAAGACTCCGTCTCCAAAAAAAAAAAAAAAAAAAGGTGAAAAATAATTCACACTCTCCTTACAGGATAAAAAAGGGTGTTAGCCACAACTATCAGGTATATAAAGGCAGCTGGCATAAAAGCTGGAACGCAGCTGGCCCATAACCAATGACAGTTTCCTTCCATCCATCAAGTTAGGTACTGGAAACAGAATCCACTCCTATAAACTTATCCTACAAACATGACCAGAAGTCCTTAGCACCTCAAACACCGTGTAAAGTCCTGACAAATATACTTCGATAGAGGTGGGAGAAGGTTAAAGGAAAGGTGGCTAAAAAGATCAAGAGAACAGGCTGGGCTCAGTGGCTCATGCCTGTAATCCTAGAACTTTGGGAGGCCGAGGCCGGTGGATCTCCTGAGGTCGGGAGTTTGAGACCAACCTCGCCAACATGGAGAAACCCCATCTTTACATACAAAATTAGCCGGGCCTGGTGGTGCATGCCTGTAATCCCAGCTACTGGGGAGGCTGAGGCAGGAGAATCGCTTGAACCCAGGAGGTGGAGGTTGCAGTGAGCCGAGATCATGCCACTGCACTCCAGTCTGGGCAACAAGAGCGAAACTCCGTCTCAAAAAAAAAAAAAAAAGAAGATCAAGAAAACAAAGAGCCTGCCATGGGAGGAAAAGCTAGAAGGACTGTGATCCTTCAGCTAAGAGTGAGGCAACAACTGTAATCACTTTGAGCTATGGGTAACACAGTGAATGGTATGAATGGGATGATTACGCCTTGTCTACAAAATTGTACAAAACCAGCAGAAGAGGGGACCCCCAGGATACCTGAGGACCAGTTTGGGCTAAGCATAGGGAAATCCCAATCTAAGGTAGGAAGTAAATTTATGGCACTCACTTTAGGGAGACAAGCTGGAGAGAGCTCTATGCATGTGATTAGGAAGAGTAATACGCGACAGGAGGACACAGCAGACACAGAGAACACAGAGAACAGTGTCACCATGAGCAGGGAGCCCTGCAGTCCTCAGGAGAAGGAGGGAGACAGCAGCAGTGACATGGCTCCTTCTAGCTCCCCAACCTTGGCCACTCTGTCTTTCCTCTCCATAAACCTCTGTCTCCCTGAGACAACCTGAGTGAATCACTGCTCCTTCCAACCCAAAGAGCTCTAGCCAAAATGAAAATACCAATGAATCCGTGAATGGGAACCTATTCATGAATAGGTCACATCAATTCAGATATGGCAGAGCCAGGTGTTCCCAAGGGACACAGAAACCCTTTGCTGGTCTGCATGGCCTTACTGCAAACCTCTTTAACACCAGCATCTCATTTTATTTTATTTTTTTATTTTATCTTTTTAAGTAGTCATTTTATTTATTTATTTTGGTTTTGTTTTTTTTGAGATGAAGTCTCGCTCTGTCGCCCAGGCTGGAGTGCTGTGCCGCAATCTCGGCTCACTGCAACCTCTGCCTCCCAGGTTCAAGTTATTCTCCTCAGCCTCCTGAATAGCTAAGACTACAGGTGTGTACCACCACACCCAGCTAATTTTTTGTATTTTTAGTAGAGACAGGGTTTCACCATCTTGGCCAGGTTGGTCTCGAACTCCTGACCTCAAGCAATCCGCCCACCTCAGCTTCCCAAAGTGCTGGGATTACAGGCGTGGGCCACCGTGCCCGGCAAGACCAGCATCCATCTTAGACATGCTAAGGAGGTAAAGTTGTCCGTTACAGTATCAGTCTGCAAGGAGTAACAACAGCCCCTCAGCACATCCTAAACAGATGCTGGTGCTAGAGGACCGGATCCAAGGCATAGCTCCTGTGGCCTTAGATATAAGCATTGAACCCCAACCTAGGGACCGTCCAGTCAGCCTACACTGAAGCCTGAAATAGCAGGCAGCATAGCAGAGGGGTGGCACAGTACTGTCCCTGACTACACAGGATAGGATTGGAAAAGCAGGCCAGGCCAAACTCATCTCCAGTGTTAGCTTCCCTCTGCCTCTGCTAGGCCAAGTCACTGGGCCACACCCCCTACTGACTTACCATGGTTTCCACTCCCCAGGCAGTGGGGCCACAATGCCCTCCCGCGCCAGCCACATCAGTTCTGGTTCCTTGATGGGATCAATACCAATCTCCCGGGCAAATTCAAGAATTTCTGAAAGGAGAGGCAGAGGTGGGAAAGTAAAAGAAATGAAAAGAAGAAAAAAACTCTCAATCTTTTTCTACTTTGTCTTTTCTCTCCATCAATGAGAAAATCATATTCTTTAAATTATAAACAATAAACATATAATTGTTTCCTTACAATTTATAAATGGTACACTTGAATCCAAGCATGCTATCTCCACACTACAATGATATAAATCTGAAGCCAAGCATTAAAAATGCAAAAAATAGGCAGGTGCGGTAGCTCATGCCTATCATCTCAGCACGTTGGGAGGCCGAGGCAGGTGGATCACAAGGTCAAGAGTTCGAGACCAGCCTGGCCAACATGGTAAAATCCCATCTCTACTAAAAATACAAAAATTAGCCCAGTGTGGTGGCATGTGTCTGTAATCCCAGCTACTCTGGAGGCTGAGGCAGGAGAATTGCTTGAACCTGGGAGGAGGGGGTTGCAGTGAGCTGAGTTCACGCCATTGCATTCCAGCCTGGGTGACGAGAGCAACACTTCCTCTCAAAAAAGAAAAAAAAAAGGTAAAAAATAAAATAAAACCAAGACTTCATTCCAGCGGGGGCCTCAGAGGCAAGAACCCCAAAACCATAGCCAGAACCATCCAGGATGAGCACAGCCTTACCAGAAGGTAGTAAGCTCTCCCAAGATTTGCAAAAGCTTGGTGCAAAAGCACTCATCACTCAGTCAACAAACATGTACTGAACAACTACAAGTGACTGTGCTCCTCGAGGACATCACAAACACACAAATGGAGTACAACCCAGGTGACACACGCTGTAATGAAGACATGTCCTGTATGCTACGGGTGCAGAGAGAAGGCAGTGACTGATTCTGCCTAGGGGCAGGGAGCTATCTGAGCTGAGAAAGTAGATGATACTCAAGCAGGCTGAACTCCCACTCACTGAACCCTCTCTTCCATGAAGGGAGTTGCCTCTTTTTCAATGTTGCTATATATTATGGCCCTAATACTTTTGTTCTGGCTAGGTGCTGTGGCTCATGCCTGTAATCCCAGCATTTTGGGAAGCCAAGGTGGGAGGATCGCCTGAGTCCAGGAGATCAAGACCAGCCTGGGCAACATGGTGAGAACCCGTCTCTACAAAAAATACGAAAATTAGCTGGGCGTGCTGGCATGTGCCTATAGATGCAGCTACCCAGGAAGCTGAGGTGGGAGCTTACTTTCTAGTAGAAGAGACAGCCAGCAATGAGCTTGAGGAGGTCAAGGCTACAACTCCAGCTGGGGGGACCAAGCAAGACTTCATCTCAAACAAACAAACAAAACTTTTTTGTACTCTGGAAATCAAGTATTTAGAAAAGTTCTTTTGCCACAGAACTGAAAGACAGTGGAGATATACGTCCTGACTTAAGCACTATCTCAGTCAGGCACCGTGGCTCACGCCTGTAATCCCAGCACTTTGGGAGGCCAAGGTGGGCAGATCACTTGAGCTCTGGATTTTGAGACCAGCTTGGGCAACATGAGAAACCCCGTCTTTATAAAAAATACAAAAATTAGCCAGGCATGGTGGCATGTGCCTATAGTCCCAGCTACTCAGGGGGCTGAGGCAGGAGAATCGCTTGAGCCCAGGAGACGGCAGTAGCAGTGAGCTGAGATCCCGCCATTGTATTCCAGCCCGGGCGACAAGAGTGAAATCCTGTTCAAAAAAAAAAAAGAGCTATCTCATGTACAGTAAAAAAGATAAATGAGATAACCATTGGAACATGTCACCAGAACCCCCAGAAATGATTAAATAAATATGCAAATGACATCAATGCTTAAGCTGGTGATAGCCCAGGCCAGAAGGGCATCACCAATGAACCATCGCAGTGGAGAATTTGGAGGCTGACATACCTGGGAACTAGGAAAGAGAAAATATTTTTTCAAAGGACTGCCTGGAACTTGACTGACCAGACTAATTTATTCATTTTTCACAAATATGTTTGAGTGTCTCCTATGTACCAGTCACTAGGAGCCATGAATAAGAAAAAAACTAGTCACTGCCATTGTGGAGCTTACATTCTAGTAGAAGAGACAGCCAGCAATGAAGTAAACAGTTAAATATACAAAAATTAAAACTTCTGATAAACGCAATGAAGGAAGTAAATGAGGTATGAGCTAGAGAACGTCAGGGTGGAAGAGCATTCCTTTAGAAAAATGATGGTCAAGGAATCAAGCTATTGCACTCCAGCCTGGGCAACAAGAGTGAAACTCCGTCTCAAAATAATAATAATAATAATAATAGAAATGATGGTCAAGGAATGCCTCTCAGCAATGTTGACAGTTAACTGAAACCTGCACAAGCGAAAGGAGCCAGCCATGCAGAGCACTAGAGAAAGAGCATTCACACAGAAGCAGCACAGGTGCAAAGGATCTGTGACAACCGGTAGCTCTGGGGACTGTCAGAAAGCCAGTATAGCCAGGCATGGTGATGCACACCTGTAATCCCAGTACGTTGGGAGACTGAGTGGGTGGATTGCTTGAGCCCAGGAGTTCAAGACCAGCCTGGGCAACACAGCAAGACCCCATCTCTAACAACAAAATACAAAAATTAGCTGGGCCTGATGGCATGCACCTGTGTGGTCCCAGCTATTTGGGAGGCTGAGATGGGAGAATCACTTGAGCCCAGGGGAGGGGGTCAAGGCTTCAGTAAGCCAAGTTCAAGTTCACGCCACTGCACTTCAGTTTGAGTGACAGAGTGAAACTCGGTCTCAAAAAAAAAAACAATTCCAATGTGACTGGTAGAGACAGCCCGGTCACAGAGCCCTGCAATCCCATCAAGGGTGTTATGTTGAGTTATGGGGGTGGGGGGTACTAAAAGCACAACCCTGACGTGGTCTGCTTTATAAGCAGTAAGGCTAATTGATTAGGAAGCTACTGAGATAACCCAGGAAGAGAAAATGGTGGCTTGAGGTTAGAATGCCTATACCCGGACTGGGCAGAAGAAAGTTTTTATAAACATCCTTAGAAAAACCTTTGACTCCATTTACAACAGCAACCAAATGTATACAAATTTAAGAAATATGCCGGTCATGGCCGGGTGCAGTGACTCACACCTGTAATCTCAGCACTTTGGGAGGCCGAGGCGGCTAGATCACCTGAGGTCAGGAGTTCAAGACCAGCCTGACCAACATGGTGAAACCCTGTCTCTGCTAAAAATACAAAAATTAGCTGGGTGTGGTGGCGTGCACCTGTAGTCCCAGCTACTCAGGAGTGTGAGACAGGAGAATCACTTGAACCTGGAGGTTGTAGTGAGCCGAGCTCACGCCACTGTACTCCAGCCTGGGCGACAAAGCAAGACTCTGTCTCTAAAGAGAAAGTAGGAAAGAAAGAGGCCAGTCGTAGTGGCTTATGTCTGTAATCCCTGCACTTTGGGAAGCCCAGAAAGGAGGATCACTTGAACCCAGGAGTTCAAGATGAGCCTGGGCAACACAGTGAGATCCTATCCCTACAAAAAAATTTATTTTAATTAGCCAGACACATGGCATGCACCTGTAGTTCTAGCTACATGGGAGGATCACCTGAGCCCATGAGTTCAAGGCTGCAGTGAGCTATGATGGAGCCACTGCATACCAGCCTGGGTGACAGAGTAAGACTGTCTCTATAAACAAAAATATGGAAAACAAAGAAACGCCCTATGCTATAAGCACAGTCCAATATTTAACATGAGATCCATGTATTCCTAGAGGTGCAAGAATTGTGCACCCTGCTGTCAGGTCCATGAACCACCTGAATTATAAGCAAACTTTGTATGCCCAGATCATAACTCGTCAGAATTTCAAAGAAACTTTCACTCCAAAAAACTGCTTAGTGCTTCAAAGTGCAGGCCCTATGGCCAGGCACAAGTGGTTCATGCCTGTAATCCCAATACTCTGGGAGGCCAAGATGGGCAGATTACTTGAGGTCAGTTTGAGATCAGCCTGGCCAACATGGCAAAACCCCATCTCTACTGAAAAATACAAAAAAAATTACCTAGGCATGGTGGCACGCATCTGTAGTCCCAGCTACTGGGGAGGCTAAGGCAGGAGAATCACTTGAACCTGGGAGGCGGAGGTTGCAGTGAGCAAAGATCCCGCCACTGCCCTCCAGCCTGGGCAACAGAGCGAAACTCCCATCTCAAAAAAACAAAACAAAACAAAACAAAAAGTGCAGGCCCTAGAGTTTGAATACCTGGAGGTGGATTCTAGCCACACCACTTAGAATAGAACTGTATATCCACAGGAAGTTAATCTTTCTGTACCTTGGTTTCCTCATCTGTAAAATGGGGATAATAATAGTACCTAACTCAGAGAGTTGCAGTGAGGGTTGAAAAGGTAATATACATGGGCCAGGCATGTTTCTCCCGCCTGTAATCCCAGCACTCTGGGGGGCGGAGGTGGGAAGATCACTTGAAGTCAGTTTGAGACCAGCCTGACCAACATGGTAAAACCCCTTCTCCACAGAAAATACAAAAATCAGTTCCCCAGGTGTGGTGGCGGGCACCTGTAGTTCTAGCTACTCAGGAGGCTGAGGAATGAGATTTGCTTAAACCCAGGAAGGGGAGGTTGCAGTGAGCCAAGATCACAGCACTGCACGCCAGCCTGGGTGACAGAGTGAGACTCTGTCTCAAAAAAAAAAAAAAAAAAAAAAAAAAAAAAGGTAATAAGGTAATACATGTAAAGTGCTTAAAACAGAGGCTGGCACATAATAAGTTATGTTGTTATTGTTATTAATAATGTTATTATTGTTGTTTAGAAAACTCTGCTCTAAGTTTGTGTTTAGGAAATTGGGTTTCCCCTGGTCTCAGAACACACTGTATTTAGATATCCCCTAATATGTTTCCATTTAAATCTAATCATTGCTGTAACTCAGAGACAGCAAATTTTTCTGTAAACAACCGGATAGTAACTATTTTAGCCTTTGTGGGTCATATACCTCTCTTACAGCCACACATCTCTGCAGCTATAGCATAAAAGCAGCCACACACAATACATAAACCAGTGTGACTGTTTTCCAGTGAAGGTTTATTTACAAAAACAGGCAAGGAGCTGGGCATGGTGGCTCAGGCCTGTAATCCCAGCACTTTGGGAGCCAGAGGCAGGCAGATCGCTTGAGGTCAGGAGTTCGAGACCAGCTTGTCCAACATGGTGAAACCCATCTCTACTAAAAGTACAAAAATTTGCCAGGTGTGGTGGTGCACGCCTGTAGTCCCAGCTTCTCGGGAGGCTGATGTGAGAGAATCACTTGAACCCAGGAGGCGGGGGTTGCAGTGAGCTGAAATCACGCCACTGCACTCTCGTCTGGGCAACAGAAAGAAACTGAAAAAAAAAAACAGGCAAGAGGCCAAGGTAGGCTCACATCTGACCTAACCCAAATACACTAAGCAACTCTGTACATGTACCATACTTTGCACTGAAAGAACAAAAATAAACCAGACATAATCCCTGTCCTCAAAAAACAAACACAATACACCAGAGGCCTCTTCGCAGACTTGTTACCTTGCTCACTAGGAATGTAGGTCTCATCATAATCTTCTTCCAGAACCAGCTGATCTCCTATGCGGAGGGGTCGTCCAGCCATGACTCATCTGGGCTCAAACACCTAGATCCCAGAGACCCCCACCAAAAGAGAAAATCAGTGACCAAGCTTAATAGGGGAAAAGATGGCGCTGGGTCATGGAGCATCTGGATCAAACCAGACCCTGCACAGCAATTTGGCCAGGGCCTTCCCAAGTGCCAGGTATAGTGGAGGGTGAAACCAACAACTCAAGGCTCACGGGCTCTGCGCCTGGGAAAGGTCTCCCAAAGGCTTGATGAACACTTGGTGAACCACAAAACATCTTCAAGCCTGGCTCTGTCAAGAGTTTGACTTTGTACCTCCCCCAGAGAGAAGAAACAATTACAACACAGAAACACCAAGTAGAAGATCCTAGGGACACCAAAGTAACCAGCAGCACACAGACACCCGTACACCAGCACACTTTCGTGGCACACCCCCATCTCAACACATATTCCTATCTGGATGTCTCGATTCATATCCAAAATGCCCTCAGGAAGCTTACAATCCAGTGGCGGGAACGACCTCAAAAGCGGCAGAAGGGAAAAAAGCTTCCTGTTCTGGGAGTACTAAGATAAGGGCAAAAAATTCCCCCACAGAAAGGAAGGAAGGCAGGCTGACAAGAATTCCGATGGTGGAGAAAGGCATTCTAGACAGAGGGAGCATCTTGCACAGACAGGTGTTCCAGAGTGCGGATACCAGCGCGTGACCGGCTGCTCACACAGAGCCTCGCAGACCATGCTGAAGAGCCTCCACCCTGTCCTACCGCAGAGGGGAGGCGCTGAGGGCTCTGGTGAAACGAAGCATCACAGGGTGGCCTTTTTTTTAGGATAAGAACTCTGGCAGGACTGGCACAGCTGGATTGGAGAAATTAGAGACTGGTGTCAGGAAAACCACCTGAGGAGGCTGCTGCCCAGGGGCAAGATGATGAGGGTTTTAACTAGGGCAGAAGCAGGGGAATGAAGAAGGGACAGTCAGAACGGACCCAGTGATGTTAAGCTTAACAGGACCAGGATATGAGGGAAAGAGTGGAAAGGAGCTACATCCCTCCAAAATTCACATACGTATATATTGGGGGTTTTTTTGTTTTTTTTTTTTTTTACAGAGATGGTGTCTCACTATGTTGCCCAGGCTGGTCTTGAACTCCTGGGTGTAAGCAATCCTCCCGCCTCAGCTTCTCAAAGTAAGAAAAATTCACATATTGAAGCCCTAATCCACAATGTGACTGATCTTTAGGAGGTAATTAAGGTTAAATGAGGTCATTAAGGTTAAATGGCCTGATAGGATTAAAAAGAGAGAAAGAGAGAAAGGACCAGGAACCAGGGTGGCAGATGGGGCCCACTGCCTAGTGGCTTAGAGCTCTGTCTCTGCCATATGAGGACACAGCAAGAAGGCAGCTGTCTGCAAGGCAGGAACCCGGAAGAGACCTTGATATGGGCCTTCTAGCTTCCAAAACTATGAGAAAAGAGATTTCTGTTGTTTGAGCCCCCTAGTCTACGATATTGTGTTATGGCAGCCCAAGCTAAGACAGAACCCAAGGTTTGTAGCTCCAGGGATGGGGCGGCGCCAAATTCTTCAACTGACAAGTCGGTGCACTTCTAGAATTGCTCCTCTCTTCCCACCCCTACCTCAGGACCCCAGTTCCCACCAACTCTCCCCATGGCAGCTCCCGTGCTGCAGCCTGATGAATGAAGCAGGTCGCCTGGGAAACTGCTGCCACACACAGCCCTGCTCAGAGCACCTCCCCGACCTGCAGAGCAGTTGGCCACACCAGATGTGACCAACAGGAGTCTGGAGCCACAAGTCCTGACCTCTCCAGTCCCCACTTCCTCAGAAGCTGCCACTGTTCCTCCTAGAGCAGCAAGGATGAAATGGCCCTCTTCAAGCAGAAAGGCCCAGCCATTAAAAAGGTTAGGATCTGGGAGAACGCATCAAGCCCAGGGGACCGTGGAAAGGCTGGAGGACACACCTAAACATGTGGAATCCCAACGCCGGACACCCAGGGCCAAATCCATATCCCCCTCAGCACTAGGTGCCCTGGAGGTTCCAATCCTGCCCACCCACCACCTATCAACCCACCCTTTCCCCCAGGCCCCTGTCCTCCTCCCCCAGGAGCTCCCCAGGGCAATCCAGCTTTCCCCCGACATGGGGCCCCTCATCCTGTGCCACAGCCAGCGTATCCAGGATGCCAACCCTCGGGTCCCTACCCTCCTCCGTACCCACCGCCTGCCCCTGGAATCCCTCCTGCGAATCCCTTGGCTCCTGGCATGGTCGAACCAGCAGTGATGGTAGACAAGAAGAGGCAGAAGAAAATGAAGAAAGCTCATAAAAAGATGCACAAGCACCACAAGCATGGCAAGCATTCCTCCTCCTCTTCCAGCAGTGACTCTGACTAAATACAGGCCCTGGACCCTTCCCTCAAGTCTCACCAGTTCTGCTTTCCCCATCAAGCTTCAGATGCCATGCTGCACTGGGGGAGAGTAGCCCTTGTGCTCCCCACCCGCTACCCGCACCTGAGCCTCACCCTGCTGTTGAGCCCTAAGTGGCTAGGGAAAATGGGAAGAGGATTGCCATGGCCTGGCCATCTTCTTGCTGCTTGGATAGATCATACGAGTTAACGAGTTTAGCAGGGGAGCTATTTTTTTGAAGACGATGAACTAAATGTTGAGGACAAGTTTGAGATCTGTAAAATGTGATTTTTTTTAACTTCTGCTTATAATACTTGTGATTGGGGAGGTTTGTGGAAATGTAATAACGATGAAAAACCTCTATCTTTTTTGTAATGTTGGCATACTTGGGGAATTCAGTGGCAAATACATTCCCCAGCAGGCCTTCTGTTAGTTGCACTAAGTGCAAAGTTGCTGGGAAGTAGAGTCCATTCGGTTGATGAGCTTTGACTGCCGTTTTGGAACCTCACCTCTCCTCCTTAGCCCAATATGCTGTCTCGGGTCCTATGCTCGTTCTCCAGCTCTCAGTCCAAATAAAATTATTTCTCTGGTTAAAAAAAAAAAAAAAAAAAAAGTCAGAATCTGGCCTGGAAAGAGTATTCAGGAAGTGGCTGGATCTGGAGACTCTGAATCTATTCCAAGTTTCCTAGAGACCCCTGACAAGCAACAAAGGATCCATCAGGGACTGTTTACTGTGGTCCCCCTCTCTGTACCATGATAGCTAAGAGGTGGGCAACAGAAGAGTCCTGCCTTAGGACTCACAAGACATGGTTCCCTTTGTCAGTGCACTGAACTTGAAGAAAGCCAGCTTCTGCCCCTCTCATTCCCACCATGCCACCTCCAAGCAGGAGGAAAACACCAAAGAAAAAGGGCTTCTTTCAGCAGTACATAAGCTGAAGTAGGAAAGTGCTACCAACCCTCAGAAGAACCCGTAACATCCTGCAGACATGATGCCCCACTGTGCTACACGCACAGAGGTGACGTAGGCCTGACCACTGCTGACTCTAAAAAGCTGAGCAGAAAAGGACCAGGAACCAGGGTGGCAGATGGGGCCCACTGCCCGGTGGCTTACAGAGTCACCTGAATCTTTAATCCTCTTAGGGAGAGGAGAAAAGAAAAAGAAAGAATCCATGGGCAGGAAGGGCCCAGTGGTGGCCTGAACATTTGGGTGAATAAGCACTTCTCAAGCATGTACTCTATATGAGGTACTGTCTTAACTACCTCAGAGAATTTGAGAAATTCTGCATTTGAGAAATACTATCCCCTAGATTCATCCCATCTCCAGAAAGCACAGGACAGGTAGTCTCTGTCAGCATGGCAAAAAGACTAATTCGCTACATACGTAATTATCTATATTTACCTTTTTTTTTCTTTTTTTTGAAACGAAGTCTCCCTCTGTCACCCAGGCTGGAGTGCAGTGGTGTGTTCTTGGTTCACTGCAACCCATCTCCCGGGTTCAAGCTATTCTCCTGCCTCAGCCTCCCAAGTAGCTGGGATTACAGGCGCCCACCACCATGCCCGGCTAATTGGATTTTTAGTAGAGATGGGTTTTCACCATGTTGGCCAGGCTCATCTCAAACTCCTGGCCACAGGTGATCCACCGGCCCTGGCCTCCCAAAGTGCTGGAATTACAGGCATGAGCCACCATACCCGGTGATATATTTAACTATTTAAGATCAGGAAAACTCTGGAAAATCTGAATTCATGGATCATCCAAATTCAAATAAATGTTCTGCCAGAAAAAAATTAAAATATGGATGAGTTGTATTCTACCTTCTTTCCTTACCTTTTCTGGCTTTAGAAAAGATGTGGGCAAGGACAGGTGCAAAAGCGCAATGAGTTAAAGAAAAAAGGAACATGGGAAGAGAAGTCCTATCTATTTGCCTGTATGCAGTAGCAGGATGGCTACTAAAGATCATCTAGTCATTCGAGGAATATTTATTGGGTACCTACCACGTGCATTTATTTCTAGGCGCTAGAGATGCAATCGTGATTAAAACCAGATTCAGCTGCTGCTACTCTTGAGCTAGTCTGGAAAGGGAGGGAGACAAACCAGTCACAGAGAAATGTATAATTAGAACCAAAGTGCTCTGAAGGAAATAAGCCTGATTTAGATGATGCCTACACTGAGAACTGAAGGATGAGTAGGTATTCACTAGACAAAGAAAATAAGGAAAGTGTGTTCTAAAAAACGCATGAGAAAGTCCTTCAGCAGAAGGCAACACTAGGCGAGAAGCAGCACAGCTGGAGATGATGCTGGGGAGGCCAGTGGGAGCCAGGCCATGCAGACTTGGCCTTTATCATAAGAGAACTAGGGCTGGGCACAGTGGCTCACGCCAGTAATCTCAGCACTTTGGGAGGCCAAGGAGGGAGGATCACTTGTGCCCCGGAGTTCGAGACCACCCTGAGCAACTTAAGATGGCCCTGTCTTACCCTGTACAAAAAAAAATTTAAAAATTAGCCAGGTGTGGTGGTGTATACCTATAGGCCCAGCTACGTGGGAGAATGAGGTGGGAGGATCACTTGAGTCCAGGTTGTCAAGGCTGCAGTGAGCCTTGATTGTGCCACTGCACTCTAGCCTCAGTGACAGAGAAAGAC